TACTGATTTCCAAAGTGGCTGTACAAGTTGGCACTCCCACCAGCAGTGGAGGAGTGTTCCTCTTTCTCCGTATCCTCTCCAGCATAAACTGTCATTGGTATTTTTGATTTTGCATTCTCTGCTTTTTAACATTGGTTATTTTTGTTTGTTTGCAATGAAACAGTCTTGCCATATAGCCCTGGCTTAGCTAAACCTCAGTATCCTGCCTCAGCCTCCTGAGTGCTGGAATTGCACGTATACATCTCTCTGCCTGGCTGATAACCCTAGCTCTCTACTCCCAGTCCCTTTTATTTGTGTTTACACCATGGTGCATGTGTAGAAGTAAAAGACAGTCCTCAGGAAATGATCTGTCCTTCTATGGAGGGAGTCTTGAAGATCAAACTCAGGACATCAGACTTGGCTGCATCTGGCCGGCCTCTCCCCAGCATTCACATTTCAATAAGCATAACAGGGTGACAGAAAAACATACATGAATACAATAAAAACAAGCTAAAAATGTCTGTCCTCCAAACTAAGGTGACACATTAGAGTCTCAGCTCTGGCCAGTAGTCCAAAGAAGGGCATAGGTGGTTGTCAGAGTTGTGACAAGACTGGTTTTAAGACCCTAACAGTTTAGGGGCTGGAGAAATGGCTCAGACACGGGTTAAGAGCGCTGGCTGCTCTTCCAGAGGACCTGCACCCATACAACAGCTCACAGCTGTCTGCAGTTCCAGCTCCAGGGTCTGACACCTTCACACCGATGCACACAATAAATTTAAATAAATTATTTTTAAGAAGACCTAAGAGTTTACGATATTTCTTCTGAAGCCTTGATTCTGTTCTTAATTTTGATTTGTTGTGCCAGGTATTGTGCTAAGCATATTTTTGTGCTATATTTCTTAATCTTTACATAAGCCCTGTAAAATAGGTTATGCTGTCACACCATCATGGAGCTGAAGAAAAGGCTAAATTTTGAATGCTTACAAAAGTGACTTGGAAATGGCAGAGCTAAAGCCAAAAGTGCCTTGGTTTCGAAATCAGTTCTTTTGTCCTTAGGCCCTTTCCCTTGTGTGTAGGTGCCAGCTGCTTTCAGAGCCCGTTAGCTCATGGGCTCTGAGCCTGCCTAGGAAGGACTTCCTGCTTTACCTTTGCTGACTTGTCACCACTACTCAGATCACTTTCTCACTGGATGAGGAAGTGCTTCATTATGCAATAGAAGGAAGTGAGCTATCAAGTCATTAAAAGAACTCTGAATCCTATATGGAGACACAGTTGCTTGCTCTTCAGACGTACCTACACTGGGTATTATAAGAGAATAAATAGTGCTCAGCTCCACAGTGTGCTTTGTCCATGAGCTGGTTTGAGATAGTCACTGTAAAGGAAGTGCGTACCCTCATATTACCCGGTCTACCTATAGGTTGGCTGTCTGTCTAGTTTTCAGTATCCACATGACAGCAGTGTCAGGGCAGCTTCCAAGGAGGAAGCAGTAGTCAGCCTTGCTATCTGTGCCTTGTGAATAGCTAACAGTTTGCACAGTGTAACCATTTTAAATCTGTTCATTGTTAGGGAAATGCAAACCTGGATATCCAGAATGTGAACCAGCAAACGGCCCTACACCTTGCTGTTGAACGGCAGCACACTCAAATTGTTAGGGTAAAGTATTCTTATAATTTTATCTTATTGTGAAAATTGAAATGATACAGTGTTCTACTTCTCTAAGTAACATAGTTCCAGGAACTTTAGACTTTAGGATAAGGTGCTAATATCTACTTCAAGGTCTTCATATTCTCAGATTTCTGAATTCTCATAATGTTAAGTGAGAAAAATTGAAAGTAACAATTAATTTGAATAATTACATCCCTCTTAATGTGTATAGTTGATAGTAAAAGTAAAAGCTTTGGGAACATGTTGCTGCAACTTGAAAATTGAACTATATATTTTTAATTTACCAATCTGATGATTTCAAGCAAAATACCTGAAAAAAGTATTGGTTTAAATATTTTTATGGAGCAGTGACTCTTATTGGAGACTGAAGTAGCTGCCACAGTGTCACCAGTGTCACCTGGAAATGTGACTGTTAAGTTCATTCTTGTACTCTGCTGGCCCAGCAGAACTGGAACCTGGGAGTTGTCCCTTATTTGATTTTTTTTTTTTTTTTTTTTTTTTTTTTTTTTTTTATAAAAAAACAAAATTACCAGACAAAAGCAACTTGAAGAAAAGTTTATTTTGGCTCCCAGTCTGAAATGGCGCAGTCTGTTCTGATGGGGAGGTCATGGCGGTGAAGGAGCCTGAGGCAGTTGGTTACAGTGTGTCCTCAGTCAGGAAGAAGAGAGAGTTGGATGTTATCACTCAGCTCACTTTCTCCTTTTCCGCTTTTATTCAGTCTGGTACCCCAGAGCATTGCTCAGTACCACCCATGTTCAATGTGGGTCTGTCCTCAGTTAAATCTCTCTAGAAATGTCCTCAAAGACACAGCTGCCCAGAAGTGTGCCTCCTGGGTGGTTCCAAATCCAGTCCAATGACAGGGAATTTAGCCACCAAAGGTAGGTAAATTCCTGGTTTAACAAGCCTTCCAGATAGTTTTCATACTTTCCAAGTTTGAAAGATATGTCCTAAGATGATATTTTATATAACTTTTTAGAACAAAAAAGAGAGACAAAATATGATTTGCCAAGACAAGTAAGACTGTACAGTAAAATTAGCTTCTGTGGATGCTGTTGTTCAGCTCACTTTGATGGTATTTGTAGAAAGAATTAGGAAGGTTGTTAAAACACCATAAGGAAAATCTAAAGTGAACTTACAATTTACTGCACAAGTCACATAATGAATAGTCAGCAATTCATTTTGCCAAGTGGTTGGGTTTTAGCAAACAGTGTTTATATTTATTGTTACTTGAAATTTCAAATAAGGGTCTAGAGTATGTACTGTTACTGTAGATTTGCTGTAGTTTCTCATAGGTGTGGACACTATCCAAATGAGGCATCTTTCTCTCTCTCAGCTTTTGGTCCGCGCAGGTGCTAAGCTAGACATTCAGGATAAGGATGGAGATACTCCTTTGCATGAGGCTTTGAGGCACCACACTCTGTCTCAGCTACGGCAGCTACAAGACATGCAAGATGTGGGGAAGGTGGATGCTGCCTGGGAGCCATCAAAAAACACAGTGAGTAAAGATAATGCTCCTCACTACCATTGGAAGCATGCTTTATATTTACTGCTTACTGGTCTGCATTGGATAAGACATTTTATCAGAGTTGTATTTGGGTTTATAAAACTTCATTATTATTGGTCACTACGAAGTACATTTGTTCTGCATCTTATCAAAAGTTGTTTGCTTCTTTATAACATCAGCATTACAAATAGGGGTGGAGTGGGTATTTGTTATGGTTTTAATTTGAAATCCCTAATGCTTGTTCATTTTGACCAGCTTTTCATTTGATCAACACCACATGTATTTGATGAGCTGTCTGCTCAAGTGTTTCTCATTATAATTTTTGAATTCTTTGTTTTCTTTTGGTTTTATTTTTTGAGGTGTTAGGGATTGATCCCAAGGCTTCATGCATACTAGGCAAGCACTCTTCCATTTCCTAGGTCTTTTGTTTTCTTCTAATTACTTCAAGAATTGCTAATATAGTATGAAAAGGAGATCATATCCAGTTTGTGATACATAAGTATTTTCTCCTTGTCTTTGGCTTGTGCTGCCACTGCTGCTGCTGCTGCTTCCTCTTTGTCTTGGTGGTGGGGGGGGGGGGGGTGGGTGGTGGTGGGGTTGGTGACAGTGGAAGACAATTAATAATTGATGGTGCAGTGCTTTTGTGTAGGAGTGAACATAATTTATTATGCAATGTTTTTGTATGGAAATGATAGCTTAGTCAAAAGCATTCACAAGAATTAATGTGTGTAAAGATAGGCATGCTTGACTGTGGCTGTAATCCCCTACTTAGGAGGCTGAGGCAGGATTTGTGACCAACATGTGCTGTATAGTGAGTTCTAGGTCTAGGCTAGAGTGAGACATTAGCTCAAATAAAGAAAACAACAAAAGCTTCCCTGTGTAATCACATATTGTATAGTTTCCAGGCACTGGAGAGATGCTGTATGTCCTCTAAGTACAGAGAAAAATCATAAGTGTATGTTCACTAATTGTGTGAGTGACTGCTGGTACTTCTGCACCTTCTGTCTTTCTCAGTAGAGGAGGTCCAGAATGGATATTTGTTCCTTTTTATCTTCTTAGAAACTAGTTTTCATTCTTAGAAAGCTGGGGCTCCATTTGATCTAGTGTTTCCCCAGTATGCTTCTCTAAATTCAGATGGACCTAGAAGTCTAAAATCAGTCTGGTGATGTCCTCCTTATCATCAGTGCTCTGTGATGTCAAGAAGTGAATTGTGCTGCCCATGCATGTTTCTTCCCCTTTTGACAAGTGGTGTTTTGTGTTGAGGTCTCACTGTCTTTCCAAATGTCCTCAAACTCTTGAGACTCCTGCCTTGAATTTTAAGTGTTTTGGATTACAGATGTGAAAACCACCATGTTCTTAGAAGAACAAAATGTCTTTTTAAAAAATGATTTATTTATTCTTTTTTATGTGCATTGGGGTGTTTTGCTTGCATGCGTGTCTGTATAAGGGGTCAGAAGCCCTGGAACTAGAGTTATAGATAGTTGTGAACTTAAATGTGGGTGTGGGGGAATTGGACCAGGTCTTCTGGAAGAGCAAGTGCTCTTAACTGTTGAACCATCTCTCCAGCCCAGAACAGAATGTCTTAATGTTGATTATTGTATATGCTTTATGTGTCCTAAGAAGTCTTTGGCAAAATGAAGGTCACTCAGACTTTTTCTTGCTTTATGTTATAGAAGCTTTTAAAGTTGAGCTGTTTAAGTGCCATGAGAGTATGGCATAGATCGAAGTTCATTTGTCATTTGTCATTGATGGATGTCCAGCTGTCCGTGCACCATTTGTCCAGTAGTATCCTTTTCTACTTGAGTGTCTGTTGCCTTTATCCAAGATCAGTTAGCTATTCTTGTGGAAGTCTCCTTTTGCATGGTTCATGGTGTTCTTTTGCTTCATGTCCTTAGATAACTCAAATGCCTTGTAGCTTTGTGATTTGGAATTTGCTCATGTTGAAATCAATCTATGGAACTCCTCACATTTTTAAAAATTGTTTGGCTATTTTAAGCCTTTATGCTTCCAAATGAATTTTATTATGATCTTAAGGACTATAAATAAATCTGAGGCCAAAATGTTTGTGAATTTTTGTCTTGCATGACTCTGAGTGTTTATTTTTAACTCCTTTGTGCCTTTTTTTATTTTTTCATCATTTTAAAATTGAGAGGAGCATACTTCTCTCCATAGGTTGTTGTATAAGATCATCAAAGTACTTAAAACATACATGGCTTATTATGGATGCTTAGTTAATCTTGATAGTTATTTTAGCAATTTCAGATATATTTGGATCCATAGCTCAGATGACACAATCAGATGCTTATTTGTCTCATTAAATTTTGCCTTGATTCAGAAACACTGTGTAGTTCATAGCATCTCCAGGGTGACATTGAGTAGAAACAAAAGTGGTTTCTTCTTAACCAGAAACTGCACTTGAGCTTCTTAGCCTTAGACTTTGATTCTATGTGTGTCTCTGAATCAGTCACGTAGGAGGCAGGTCTCCAACTGGGTTTCACCACTTTGGATCCACTTATACACTGCAAAGTCAGTTCTCAAATGTAGGAAAACCAAGGGAAATGGGGGTTTTGGATGAATCCATATAAGTGTTCAGCACACACACATATTGGTAGTAATAATTGATGGCAGATTTCCTTAAGGGAAAATCATGACTCTTTTCTTTGATTGCAGCTAATAATGGGACTTGGTACCCAGGGAGCAGAAAAGAAGAGTGCAGCATCTATTGCCTGTTTTCTGGCAGCCAATGGTGCTGACCTCAGCATTCGAAATAAGAAGGGGCAGTCACCACTGGATCTCTGCCCTGACCCAAGTCTCTGCAAAGCACTGGCAAAATGTCACAAGGAAAAAGTCAGGTTTGTACTCTTTATCATCACATAACTTGGTGTTGTATTCATAAGATGCTATGTAGCTCAATAAGGGAGGACCTGATACTTGCCTATGTCTGGATCTTTGCAGTTCTTAGATCTTTATGTTGCACTTGAAAGCATTTCCTCTACTTACTGTCTCATTCCATGTTATATTCCCCACATTGTGTATACCAATTTATGCATGATAAACTTGAGAAACTTTTCTGAACTAGTTTGATCTTCTAGGAATCCTATGTGTTCTGGGAATTTATAAGGAAAAGCCTTACTCTAGTGATAATGCTGCGGTTAATGTTATAATATTTTCCTATAAAGGGCAGTTTACTCTCATTGAAAGATTGTAAGAATTCTGGTACCTTACACCAAGAGCTTGGAGACAGTTATTAGCAATAAAGGGATAAAAGAATGAACAAATGAGTCAGCCAATTGGTTGTTGCATTTTCCCTAAAGATGATCATTTCACATATTCCTGTTTTCCCGACAGTAAAGTATATCAATAATTTTAATTAAAACTTCTGGTGTAAATATTTTCTTTACTGAGATACATACAAAAAAGTATACATCTGTTTTTTCAATCAAAACATGGCTATGAAAATATTGTTGACTTTTATACCTCTTATCAATCACTGACTATATTGGTAGCTGTCCCTTTACCTTGTGTATTTTCTCACCTCTCTTAAAATGTGTATGTAACAGCCAGGCAGTATTAGTTATACATACATGCATTTTCCTGGCTTTCTTCTCTACATTTATTTCGTGTAGTCTACCTTTCTGTAGAGTACTTTTATCCTCCTGAGCAACACACGCATGGAATAGCGGAAGTGTCTCACGCTCTAGTGTTTCATCCTTGTGAACGCTGGGGATGCTTTCTTTCCTGGTTGATACCATAGTATGATGTTACTCAGGGCTTTTGTTTTATGCCTGTGACAGAACATGTTCTAAATCAAACTTCACTTATTATATTAGCTTTTTGTTCTGTTTATTTTGAGATAGAGACTTAGTATGTTGCTCTGACTGTCTTTGAACTCCTTCTGTAGACCAGACTGGCCTAGAACTCACAGAGATTCGCCTGCCTCTGCCTCCTGAGTAGTGGGATTAAAGGTGTGTGCCACTGTGTCTGTCTCATTAAATTAGTTTTTGCTGGTGTTTTTCGCTGTTTATTAGAAGTTCTCCCTTTTTCATTGAGTCTTCATTTAATTTGAAGATTGACTGATACTAGAAAAATAAGAAGATGCAGAGAGGTTCATAAATAGGTTAAAAACCAAGCATTTAGTACCTTTTGTTCTATTCTTTGAGTAGTAGAGATGTGAGTATGAGCATTTATAAATAGAAAAATAAATAGGAAAAATGGTTTTACATCAAGTTGTTGACATTTGATTTTTATTATAATCTGTTCTTTTATGTGTACTAATGATGCTAAAAATTAATTTGTTTAGAGTATTTGGATGGGTTTAATGTGAAATATTTTGTTTTATTAGTGGCCAAGTGGGTTCTCGGAGTCCTTCTATGATTAGCAATGATTCTGAAACCTTAGAGGAATGTATGGTATGCTCAGACATGAAGAGAGATACTCTTTTTGGTCCATGTGGACACATTGCGACTTGTTCTTTGTGTTCCCCACGTGTCAAGAAATGCCTCATCTGTAAAGAGCAGGTTCAGTCCAGGACAAAGGTACCGTGTCGGTAATTTGCTGCTCTGTTGTGGAGTTCTGTGAGACCATAACATGTTAGGCTATGTGATACTTATTTCACATTGTTCTTACAAATGAATTAAATATCATAATACATAATTTATATGTCTAAAGAGATCAGTTCAGATTTTCTGATTTGATTTCTAGTCTAACCTTACTAATGTACTTTGCTGTGTTCATTATTATCACACTTTAAAATCATTTATGCTTTTTAACTCTCAAATTTTTTAGCTTATATTTCCTTCTTTATATCTAAAGTATAGTACTTGAAAAATAGTTACTGTTTTTTCTTTCAAAGCCTTCTATAACTTAGATACATTGAATTCTACTTTGTATTGCAGAGATCTCTAACCAACTCTAACCATCTCTGAGTTACTAGCAGAGCCTTTAACCATAAGGGAATAGTGACCCCAAGTGGTTAAAAGGGAATCAGCAGCTTCATTGAAGAAAAAGTCTAAAACTAGTATTTAGAGGAAAGGATATTTTTAGATGTTACTAGGATTCTTCAGTAATTTGGGAAATATAAATACATTTCAAATTAATACAAACTTTTTGTGGAGTAAGGAAATAAAAGTTTTTGTTTTAAGTGCTAGCAATTAAAGTGGGAAGTGGTTGCTTTGCTAACACTACTAAAGTCTTGGAGGACATCCTCTGCTCAGAGCTTTATGTAACAAAATGCTTTGAGAGTAAAACCTTAAAAAATAATCCATAAGGGGAAAATTTGTGCTTAGAAAGACTTTTCTCTTAAATAGGATGGGTAGATAAATGATTGTTAGTTTGCTCTACTATTTTAAAATCTTACAAATAATATTAGATAATTTATTAGTACTGGAGATAGCTTTTGAGTTCAAGAATAGATCAACCAGATTTTACTGCACTAATAAACTAATGTACCAAGTGTACAAACTCCATGTATAGCACTTAGGCTTGGGCAGGAGACCACACCTACATGAAAGCAAGCAAGAACAAAATGGTTAGTGGTTAGGTGGTGTGATGGGTGAGAAGTGGTCATTTCTGGACAATAATACTAAATAAAAGGTAGCTAAATATAGCTCTGCTGGGAAAAGGTAGAGTAGAAAACAAATAGGACACTAAGGGCAGTATTGTGTGCTGAACAGAAAGAGAGCCAGAGGCAAGGTTGTTACAATACATGGCAAAATTTATTCATTGTAGCTGAGGTCAGATGGAAATTATGAGTAGGCTTTGGGAGACTTGGGGACTTACTTAATGATAAGGCAGGGTGAGCAATAACCTAAAAGCTTTGGGCTCCAGGCAGCCTGGAATTGGCCAGGTTCTAAAGGGGTGGAGCAGTTACCTCCTAGATGGTGGTAACGCAGGCACCCTTCTTCAACCTTTAGTCGTTTACCAATCTGGGCAGGGTTTTGTTGTTATCAGTCTTTTCACAACCATTTGTTTTAATATTTATTTATCAAAATTTCCTTTATAAGTTTTTGAAAAGAGAAAGAAAGTTAACATTTAGCTCATTATCCCTGACCTCAGATGAAACAGAATCTTTCTGTACAGCTCTTGGTGTCAGGTGGGGAGAGAGCTGCAGAAATAGTGAGTGGTAAACCAGGGCACCTGACAATGTGCAAGTGATGGAGCAGCCAGGAAAGCAAAGCACAGGGAAAGCACACTGGTGTGTAAGCTCCCTGGCAGATAGAGGCCCTTTCTCCGCAATGTTCACTCTGCTGCTTTGTTTTGTGTTTGCTATAGATTGAAGAATGTGTGGTGTGCTCTGACAAGAAAGCAGCTGTTCTTTTCCAACCTTGTGGACACATGTGTGCTTGTGAGAGTAAGTAACCTACTGGGAACTCCCCAGTGTCATTATAAAAATAAGAAGTGAAGTAAAAAATTACGTCTTTGATTCCCACCAACAGAAAAGCTGGACGAGCATTTAGTACCTCTCAGTCTATGCTTTAGAGCAGTAGATTATGTGGAATAATTTGAATACTGGAAATCTGTGCTCTGTCAGGCCCATCTGCTTTTGCATGTGACATTGGTACATCTTCATTTGTCATCACCTTAACATTGCCTTTCCTGTGTACCTGCCTGACTCCTCAGGCTCTTGCAGCATCTGTTGTTGGGGGCTGTAATTTTGTTCTGTTGACTGTTAGGTCAGGAAAAATTTAAGAAGTCCTTTGTTTGGGAGGACACATTGAAGCTTGTCTGGTGCTCTAGATGAGTGGCTCTTAACCTTCCTAACGCTGCACCCTTTAACACAGTTCCTCATGTTGTGGTGACCCCCAGCTGTAAAATTATTTCATTGCTACTTCATAACTGTAATTTTGCTATGTTTATGAATCATAATGTAAATATCTGCTATGTTACCCCTGTGAAAGGGTCATTTAGGCCCCAAAAGAGTTGTGACCCACAGGTTGATAACCACTGCTGTAAGTCTCAAGCCCATTAACTCAGAGACCTTGGCTTTTATATCCCACTTATATCTTGCAGATTTGAAATTCTCATTCCTTTGTCATTTTTTGTTTGTTTACTTATCAATGAAAGTGCTCAAGTTTAATACCTAAATAGTGCTTCATATTATAAAATAGGATAGTCAACAAGTATTGGTTTTATTATGCTGTCTGACTAGAATAACATGCAAATTGTATGGTAGTTAATTTCATTGGTACAGATGCCTGTCTTAGGGTTTCTATTGCTGTGAAGAGACACCATGACCACAGCAACTCTTATAAAAGAAAACATTTAATGGGATGGTTTATACTTTCAGAGGAACATGGCAGCGTGCAGGCAGACATGGTGCTGGAGCCTAGAGTCCTACATCTTGATCAGCCGGCAACAGGAAGTGAACTGGGGACACTGGGTGTAGCTTGAGCATACATGAGACCTGAAAGCCTACCCCACACTGACATACTTCCTCTAACAAGGCCACACATAATCCAACAAGACTACTCCCTTTGGGGGCCATGTTTTTGTTTTTGTTTTCTCCTCAAGCTACCACAATGCCCTTTAATGTTGGGTTAAATTTTCTACTCTCCTTTGTGTGTGTGTGTG